GGAAGAATTAATATTGTCAAAATGGCCATCCTGCCCAAAGCAATATACAAATTTGATGCAATCCCTATCAAATTATCAACAGCATTCTTCAACGAACTGGAACAAATAGTTCAAAAATTCATATGGAAACACCAAAGACCCCGAATAGCCAAAGCAATTCTGAGAAGGAAGAAAAAAGTGGGAGGGATCTCGCTCCCAACTTCAAGCTCTACTACAAAGCCACAGTAATCAAGACAATTTGGTACTGGCACAAGAACAGAGCTACAGACCAGTGGAACAGAATAGAGACTCCAGACATTAATCCAAATATATATGATCAATTAATATATGATAAAGGAGCCATGGACATACAATGGGAAAATGACAGTCTCTTCAACAGATGATGCTGGCAAAACTGGACAGCTGCATGTAAGAGAATGAAACTGGATCACTGTCTAACCCCATACACAAAAGTAAATTTGAAATGGATCAAAGACCTGAATGTAAGTCATGAAACCATAAAACTCTTAGAAAAAAACATAGGCAAAAATCTCTTGGACATAAATATGAGCGACTTCTTCATGAACATATCTTCTTGGGCAAGGAAAACAAAAGCAAAAATGAACAAGTGGGACTATATCAAGTGGAAAAGCTTCTGTATAGCAAAGGACACCATCAAAAGAACAAAAAGGTACCCTACAGTATGGGAGAATATATTCATAAATGATAGATCTGATAAAGGATTGACATCCAAAATATAAAAAGAGCTCACGCACCTCAACAAACAAAAAGCAAATAATCCAATTAAAAAATGGGCAGAGGAGCTGAAAAGACACTTCTCCAAAGAAGAAATTCAGATGGCAAACAGACACATGAAAAGATGCTCCACATTGCTAGTCATCAGAGAAATGCAAATTAAAATCATAATGAGATACCACCTCACACCAGTAAGGATCACCACCATCCAAAAGACAAACAACAACAAATGTTGGCGAGGTTGTGGAGAAAGGGGAACCCTCCTATACTGCTGGTGGGAATGTAAATTAGTTCAACCATTGTGGAAAGCAGTATGGAGGTTCCTCAAAAAGCTTGAAATAGACATACCATTTGACGCAGGAATTCCACTTCTAGGAATTTACCCTAAGAATGCAGCAGCCCAGTTTGAAAAAGACAGATGCACCCCTATGTTTATCCGCAGCATTATTTACAATAGCCAAGAAATGGAAGCAACCTAAGTGTCCATCAGTAGAGGAATGGGTAAAGAAGAGGTGGTACATATACACAATGGAATATTATTCATCCATAAAAAGAAAACAAATCCTACCATTTGCAACAACATGGGTGGAGCTAGAGGGTATTATGCTTAGTGAAATAAGCCAGGCGGAGAAAGACAAGTACCAAATGATTTCACTCATATGTGGAGTATAAGAACAAAGAAAAACTGAAGGAACAAAACAGCAGCAGATTGACAGAACCCAAGAATGGACTAACAGTTACCAAAGGGAAAGGGACTGGGGAGGACGGGTGGAAAGGGAGGAATAAGGGTGGGGAAAAAGAAAGGGGGACTTATGATTAGCATGTATAATGTGGGGGGGGTGTCACAGGGAGGGCTGTGCAACACAAGAGAAGACAAGTAGTGATTCTACAGCATCTTACTATGCTGATTGACAGTGACTGTAATGAGTTTTATGGGGGGGACTTGGTGAAGGGGGGAGTCTAGTAAACATAATGTTCTTCATGTAATTGTAGATTAATGATAAAATGAATTAAAATCATAATTTAAAAAATTAATGAATAAATAAATAAATAAAACAGTGATTCTCTCTCTAAAAAAAAAAGATATGTTTAATACACACATGTTTAATCATTTAGGAAACTGCCAAACTATTCTCCAAAGTGGTTATATCATTTTACTTTGCCTCAGCAGTGTATGAAGGTTGCATTTCCTCTACATTTTCACCAACAGTGGTTATTGTCTGTCTTTTTTATTAAACCTATTCTTCTAGCAAGTGTGAAGTGGGATCTCATTGTGGTTTTAATTTGCATTTCTCTAATAACTGTTTTCACGTGCTCATTGGCTATTCCTATATCTTCTTTGGTGAAATATCTATTAAACAATTTGCCCATTTTTAAATTGGTTCTTTGTCTTCTTATGGAGTTTTAAGTGTTCTTTATATATTCTGCCATCTGATATATGATTTGCTTCCTCACAACATGGCACCTGGGGTCCAAGAAAGGGCATTCCAAACAACAGAAAGTAGAAGCTGTCAGTCCTTGTACAGCATAGGCTTAAGTTCCAGAACGTCACTTCTGCCTCACTTCCTCAGTCAGTTGGCGACAATGCAGCCCAGATGGAAGGGGCAGAGGGATAAGGTCCTCTTCTTGTAAGGAGGGGCAGCATGCACATACAGGGAGGACATGAACTGACTGGGCTGTGTTTGGAGATGGGCTGTCCCACTTTCACATACTATAGTAATTGTAATATTTGTAGTTAATTAAACATGTAAGCATAATAAATTAAGCACATAGGTATGGCTGATGTTATTTTAAATGATCCAATATATTCTTCAAACTTTTTAAAACTCTCTTATATCTCTTAATTCAAAATTCCAAATCTTAAGTCAATTACTCATTTACTCATTTTAAATTGGAATCACAAAGCTAACCTGTTATATGCTCCTAATTTGCCAAATTTTCTTAACATTACAAATATTTTAAATACCAAACATATACAGATTATGCCTTGTGACAGACAGTCCCTAAGGTAGGCCCCAATGATTTCCCATCTCCTGTGTCCATGCTTTCGTGTAATCCCCTCCTGGACAGGATTTATGGCTTGTTTCTAACTAATAGAATCTGGCAAAAGTGATGTTGTTGGATTCCCCTGAGGAAGGCGCCGCCCCAAATCACTCACCAAAGATGTTTCTTGATGCAACAAGCAAGAGGAATTTATTCAGAAGCCAACTAGTTGGGGTCCAAGTCAGCCCGTCGCAGCGGGTCTCAACGAGGACCCTGAGCACTTACAACTAAGTGGTTATATAGGATTTTCTGAGGCATTCAGCCCTAGAGGATTACCATGGTTACAGATTATTTTGTAATAACAAAATAACAATACTACATAGCAAGATAACAATACTACAAAGGCAGTAATTTTTCAAACTTACAGTTTCTGGGTTAGTGCCACGTCCTGGGGGTGTAGCAAGGTAGGGTTGGCATTTATGATTAACTAACCGAGAGGTTAGCGCTGCCAGCAGTCATGATTGATTAACTTGTTTTTCCAGAGGAGTTACCTGGTTTCAGTTGTTCCCTCTGAGTCATATATCAGAATGGCTTTTTGGGCTTCAAGATGGCCACTCTTAGGCTAACTTATTTCTCAGGGAGGTTGGGGTCCTACAATGTATGTGATGTCAGTCCCTCAATTAGGTTGTGGTATATGGAAAAGAAGATACGATGTCACTTCCATGATTATGTTGTGTTATGTTGTGTTACGTGTTGTGTTATGTTATGTTATGTTATGTTATGTTATGTTATGTTATGTTATGTTATGTTATGTTATGTTATGTTATGTTATGTTATGTTATGTTATGTTATGTTATGTTATGTTATGTTATGTTATGTTATGTTATGTTATGTTATGTTATGTTATGTTATGTTATGTTATGTTATGTTATGTTATGTTATGTTATGTTATGTTATGTTGTGTTATGTTATGTTATGTTATGTTATGTTATGTTATGTTATGTTATGTTATGTTATGTTATGTTATGTTATGTTATGTTATGTTATGTTATGTTATGTTACAAAAGACTGTTTAAGCAGACAGCAATGAGAGTATTCCTTGTGGGCTTGAATGACATTAGCATCTATGCTGGAAAAGCCTGCTGTGGACTAACCGTGTATGTTGCCTCCCCACCCTGATTCATATGCTGAACCTAACTCCCAGTGTGATGGTGTTTGGAGGTGGGGCATTTAGAGGTGATTAGGTCATGTAGTGGAGCCCTCAGGAATAGGATTAATGCCCTTACAAAAGGGACCTCAGAGAGCTCTCTTGCCTCCTTGCTGCTCCATGAGGATATGACTAGAAGGTAGCAGTCTGCAGCCTGGAAGAGGGTCCTCGTCAGAACCTGACCCTGCTGGTGCCCTGCTCTCTGACTTCCAGCCTCCAGAACTCTGAGAAGTAAATTTCTGTTATATAAGCTACCTAGTCTTTGGTAGTTTGTTACAGTAGTGCAAAGGGACTAAGACAAAGCCCAGGTGGCAAGGAACTGTGGACTCTTTTGGGAAATGTGGTTTCTTCTAGGGGCTGTGGGTGCCTCCAGAACCTGAGGGAGCCTCCAGTAGACAGCCAGCAAAAAGCCAGGGTCCACAGTCATGGGCCCCAAATCCTCAGAAGTTAAATGTGTGTTGTTTTAAGCCACTGTTTGTGGTAATTTGTTAACATAACATTATAAAACTAATGTATTTGTAATCAACACAAGAATATTAATATTATGGATATAATTTAGTTTTTTCTTTAAATTAAATTCTAATCTTCCTGGTCAGAAGATTTCCAAACAACAATCATACTATTTAAGCAAATTTGAGTTCTTATTTTATCTCAGCCTAATTGATTGTATATCAACCAGAGAGTTTTTTTTTTAATTGGGGTTAAGGATTTATTCATTTATAATTCACTAACAGGACATTATGAGCCCTTTCAGTACACTTCTACATCTACATCTTAAAGGGGGTGGTTTGGGGCTAACACATCTCCTATATTGAAATCCCATGGTACCTATTCCTCTGTCCAGTTTAAATCTGCCACCCCACCTCACCCTCCATGTAAGGTGTGGCTTGGTATTTGTTCCTTGTTTTGATTACATTTCTTTGGCTTTCATAAGATATCGTAGTGTCTTTCTGTATAGCTCAATACTTGTTTTAATGGCATTGCTAGGATGCTTCCCACACATGTATTATTCTTACTGACCTTCTCAGAACCTAATCAGTGTACCTTTCCTTTATTTTTTCTTTCTGTCTTTCAGGTTGCAATTCATAATAGATATTTAAGTGGCATTTGTTTGGATTCTGCATATTGCATACCAGAAACAACAAACATTTGATAAAAAGCCTGCAACATGAAAAGATAAAACTGAACAAATGGGGGGAAAAAAAGGAACCTGATAGAAACAAACAAGAACAGCAGAAAACAAAACTAACTAATAAATAACATCCTTGGAAAAACAATAGAAGATTTGTATCCATAAAACAAGGATAGGGTACTGTAAACAAATAAACAGAGACCCACAAGAACATTTGGAAATTTAGAAATATGAAAGCTGAAATGAAACATTTTAATAGAAGAGTTGGAAAGTCAAAGTTATCTTCTCCAACAAGTAGAACAAAAAGTCAAACACATAGAAAGTAGAACAGAAAGAATCTGGTTGCATGGACATAGAGCATCAATCCAGGAGATCAAGAATCATAGAAAAAGAAAAAAGGAAAATGGAAGATAGAAAATTTCCCAGGACTGAAGGACACAGAGCCTCCAGAAAAGATCCCTCTAAGTGTCTAGCATCATGAAGAGCAAAATATCTACAAAGAGGTATATCTCTGACATTTCAGAACATTAAGTATAAAGAGGCAATCTTTCAAAAAAAAGCTTTCAGAGTGACAAAACAGGTTACAAATAAAATAATGAGAATCAGAATGCCATAAGACCTCTCAATACCACTGAATAGAAGATAATGGAGTAAACCTTTAAAATTACTAGACCAAACCATGCACCAAGTGTAGGGGTAGATTAAGGCACTCTCCTTTCTTAGAGCCTGCTAGAAGCTGGGCTGCAGCAAATAGGGAGAGTACACCAAGGAAAAGAATATCCTTGGACCCAGGAGAAGGAAACCTAACAGAAGAAAACAGTTTAATAGAGAAGCAATTCTCAGGATGACAGCTGTGCAGGAGAGCTTTACAGTAACCCATCCAGACTGCAGGGGAGGGCGGAGTGCTATGGGAGGGAGGTCTCCAAGGAAAAAGTGGAAAAGATTAACATGCTTGAGCATTGTGGGGAAGAAAAAACCTACTGAGAATATTTGACAGAGCAGATGGATCACTTGGAAAAACATTAAATAGTCTCATTTAACTTTTTTCATTTTTTAAAATACTTCATTCATAATGACAATAAGGAATTTTGTCAGTTTGCCTTTATAATTTATAATTTACTGTAAATGTCTTTTAAATAATTTGTTCAACTTTTTGTTTCAAATTTTTTCAAAAACATACTATGTATATAAAAACATACAGATATATGTGTATTGCATTTATGTAAGAACACACTTGTGTGTGTGTTTATACTTATAGCCATTGTTCAGCACCTTGCTTTTCCTTTTTAAACTTGTTCTGGGATCTTTCAAACATATATATTTATGTGTGTGTATATATATACACATGAAATTAACAGTTTATAAAAAAAGCATGATTCAAAATGGCCAATAAACATATAAAAATATTCTCAATCTCATTGTAAATAGGAAAATGCACATTCAAACCACAGTGAGAATTCGTTTTCCATCTAAACTGTCAAAAGTTTGAAAATCTGATGAGATATGTCAGCAATGGAATGCTACAATGATGCTGACTTGAGTATAAATTAGTATAACTACTTTGAAGAGCAAGTTGGCAGTATCTCATGTATTAGTCAGCCATTGCCATAATAATGTATAAATAAAACTCAAGCCAACAAAAATGTCTTACATAGGACACAAAAGAAAAATGAAAATAACCAAAGAAAACTTTGACAAAATGAACTCTGTTAACTATTCACTATTAAAGAGTGAAAAGAGAATCTACAGACTAGGAAAAGGCATTTGCAATAATATCCTATGAAGGACATGTATTCAGAACATATAAAGAATTCCTACAAATCAAGAAAAAGACAAAAAGTTAAAATACAAAATTGATGAAGACTTAAACAGCCATGCGACAAGATAGTTAAGTGGCCAATAAACATATAAAAAGATGTGTTCATCAAAGACACAAATAGGTTGAATATACAAGGATGGAAAAAGACTACGCAACAGCAAAAGAGAATTGGAGTGGCTACTACTAATATCAAATTAGACTTTAATACAAAAGCTACTAGAGAGAAACAGGGCCATTTTATAATGGTAAAAGGGTCAGGAAGGTATAACAATTTTATGCTTATGTTTACCTAAAACAGAGCCCCAAAAGCAAAACATGGCAGAATTGTTTGGAGAAATAGACAATTCAATGATAACAGTTGGATTTGATCAACTTTGACAGCCAATTTCCAGGAATGGATAGAGAAACTAGAAAGAAAAACATCAAGGAAATAGAAGACTTCAACTGCACTCTGTGTCACTACCTAACTGGATACATAAAATGGTTCATGCAACAGCAAAATACATACCCTTCTTAAGTATACATGGAACGTTGTCCAAGATGGACTGTATTTTAGGCCATAAAACAAATTTCAGTACATTTTAAAAGACTGAAATCATACAAGGTATGTTCTCTGATAACAATAGTATGGAATTAGAAATTAATAGTGTTATGGTTTGAGTTTGTTCTCCTCAGTTCTTGTCCCCACCACAACAAAGAATTGAAAGGTAGAGACACAATAGCAAAGTAGAGCCAAAGTTTTGTATGAATACACTCCAAGGGAGGAGCAGGCCAGAGTCAAGGGAGACATTTATATGGCTTTCTGCTTAGTAGGCACCTCTTTGACTGACAAGGGTGGTTATTTGATTTATAGGTCCATCTATATAGCCATCCCTGTCAGTGCACATGTCCTTTCCCATGCTGAGGTATGATTTCTGCAGTTCTTATTTCTATCTGATTGTGCCAAGCTGGGATCTGGTTGGTAAGAAATTCACCTCCCTGCAAAACCTTTGTTATCTTCACATGGGACCCCGTACCTGGGCAGCTTTTTCTTTGAACCTTATGTTGCCAGACAGCTGCATCTGGGAAGGTTTCTCCTTGCGCACCAGGTGAAATCTCAGCCTTGAAGGGAGAGGGCTCTTGACTGTGGGTAAATTGTAATATTTCCAGAATATTTCACCTGGCTTTAGTGCATCTGCATATCAACAGGCATTCCTCAGGGGTTGAGAAAAGTATGGCTTTAGTGCATCTGTATAGCAATATGTGTTCCTCAGGGGCGGAGAAAGTTCATCTCCATATCAATGCATAATTACCTGGGCAATGGAGGGCTTATTGGAACCTGAGAGGAGAAGGAGAGGGCTGACTTGCTTCTGGCAGAGGAGGAAAAGGAGATGGCCCAGGACTGCAGTCCATAAGCAATAAATGGGTTTTAAACTTTATTTCTCCCTTTGACTGATTTCAGTTTTAGAAGTATTTTGCCCAGGATTTCTTCTCCCCGGAGTTACATTGACTCTGAACAAGAAAGAATTCTTAAGTAGGTAGGAATGTAGATAAGGAAGGAATTCATTAAAGCAGGAGCAGAAATGAATGGCAGCTGCCTTGCAGGCAGCTTAGAACAGAAAAGTGCAGAGGATTAGGGCAGATTCACTTGCCAAATCCTAAAGCCAGGGTCACTTGGTGTTCTGTGTCTGCTTGGATCTGCATGGCATGGAGACTAGCCCCTACCACCCCAGGATTTGGGAGAGTCGTGGAGCACAGGATGGAGTGAGATGATGTTCTGAGAACTTCCCAAAGAAGGGAGATTTTCAAGCAGGATAATGCAGCTGCAGTTTCCTCCAGGTTACCCAGGCAACAGGAACTTGGAGGCCAAAATCTGAACTCTCAGCAGCCCCTCTCTACTTATTAAGAGTAAAGCGGAGACTGAGTGAAGACTTGGAAATAAAATGAAATAGCAAAGAAACAAAGACACTATTGGAAAAGCACAGAGAGACAAAACACAATTAAGCTGAGCAGTGAGAAAGCTTTGTTTAAATGTATGCACTTAAAGAAAGGAAAAAGTGTGGGCAACCTCAGAGAGGAGGCTCACTGAAAGGCTGGGGATTCTGTCTTTTAAGGCTTTCAAGAATGGAGCAAAGGGCAGAGGGGAGGTTTTTGGGCACAGGCTTGACTTGTGGTCTCATGATGTCTCTCTCCAGTGAAGGACACTATGTCCTTATCCACAGTTAGTCCTCTACATAATTCTGTAGGATAAACTTAAATACAAAGAATTTATTGATCAGGTTCCTCTCCAAGATAGTGGTTACCCTCAAGCAGTGGGGACATAGCAGTTAAGACTGCTTGCCCTGCCTTAAGATTGGGTGGGTTATTGTCTGATTACCAAAAAGTATGTTAGGAATCTTACCTCCTAACTCCCTGGTTTTTAAAATGTAATCTTAGACTTAAGATGGCGTCCCTCCTGTTCTTACTATACTGTATATCTTGGCATTTTTCATCATAGGGAAGAAAAGTTAATCATGATGCTTGTCCCGCGTCCCTGCTCCACCTCACTTATCTTCCCCTTTTCCAGCTGCTCATGTCTATCTTTCTACCTAAGATTCCTAACAATAACATAAAGAAATTTGCAAAATGCACAAATATGTGAAAATCAAGCAACATATTTCTAAATAATGAATGGGTCAAAGAAGAAATCCCAACACAAATTAAAAAATACTTTGTAATAAATGAAAACAAAAATATAACATACCAAAACCTATGATAAAATAGTGCTAAGAGGAAAATTTTTACCTGTTAATACCTACATTAAAAAAGAAGAAATATCTCAAATCAATAACCTAATCTTCCACTTAAAGAAACTTGAAAGAGCACACTAAACCCAAAGCGTGGAGAGTGAAGTAATAATAAATATTAGAGTAAAGTAATAATAAATAAATAAATAAATAAATAATGAAACAGAAAAGAGAAAAACAATAGAGAAGAACAATGTGCGTAAAATTGTAATATTTCCAGAAACTCTCGCCTGGTTTTAGTGCATCTGCATATTAATAGGTGTTTCCAAGGGGTGCAGAAAGTTAGTCCATCTACATATCAATAGGTAACTACAAGGGCATGTGAGGGTTTATCTGGACCAGAGAGGATGGGTGGAGCTCTCTTCTGCTAAAGCCAGGTCAAGAGAGAGACAGGAATCCTGCTTATAAGAAATAAAAGGGTTTCTTAACTTTATTTCTCCCTTTGACTGATTTCAGTTTTAGAAGTATTTTGCCCTGGGATTCCCATCCCCCCCCACCCCTTCATCCCCCTACCCAACCCTTGCCCCAGAATTATAATCAACAAAGCCAAACATTGTTTCTCTGAAAAGATTAACAAAATTGATAAGCCCTAAAATAGATCTAAGACAAAAAGAGAGAAGATTCAAATTACTAAAATCAGGAGTAAAAGAGGGTCATTACTAATAAAAACAGGTTATAAGAGAATACTATGAACAAATGTATGCTAACAAATTAGGTACTCTAGATGAAATGGAAAAATTCCTAAAAGCATACCATCAAACTGACTCAAGAGAGAATGGGAAATATGAACAGACTTGGAACAAGTAAAGATTGAACTAGTAAACAAAAACTACCCACCAAAAAAAAAAAAAAAAGCTCAGATGTAAATAGTTTCATTACTGAATTCTACTAAATATTTAAAGAATGAACACTAAGCCTTCTCAAACTCTGCTAAAATATAGGAGAGAATACTTCCTAGCTCATTCTCTGAGTTCAATATTACTCTGTTAACAAAGCCAGACAAAGATATCAGAGGAGATAAAAGCTACAGACTAATGTTACTTGTGAACATAGTTGGAAAAGTCCTTTACAAATATTAGAAAACCAAATCCCAAATCATATAAAAGGATTATACAGCAAGTGGGATTTATCCCAAGAATGCAAGTTTGATTCAACATATGAAAATCAATCAATGTAATACATTGTAGAGACCAGGGACAGGCTGCACCAAGATGTACCATTATGACATGCAGATTATTTCATAGTTTAGAACAATCAAGGCCCAAAAAACTCAGAAAGAAACTTTGACCTCCTACCCCTCAACTGCATAAAAAGAATTTAGATAGAGAAACTACTCCAGGAGGAGAACTGTCACCACAAATAGCTATATTTAATGTAAACTCGGGGTAGTAGAGAGGAAGGAATGTGACAAAGCCTTTGGTTAATACTTGCCTCTGTGTCCCACTGGTTCTGTGTGGCCAATCAAATATTTTACTAT